ATGGGGCAGATACGTAGTTTACCAACATCGCTAGATCGACTGAGCGAGATGCAAAGGTTACAGAAAGGTGTGGCGGCAGACTTCTATTGGTTTTGAGATATGGGTGCTATATATAGTAGAGAAGCAGCTGTCGTATAGCAAGTAGATAGGAATCTTACTTATAGATCTGCCTTATTTTCTGCACGTTGCGTTGTAGGTCAATAACGCGCATTCTTCGCGTGTTACGGCAACAGAAATTCGACTTTATGAGTGAACGTGTGTGTTTCGGACAGTGTAGAATATGAACAAATAGGAGCACTTTTTTTACTGAAATCCACGACGAGAGGAAAATACGAAACACATAGGACGTCTAGGTGGATTTCGCCGCGGGTCAGTAATTACCTAGTATCTTAACCTTCGTTTCTTGTCTTCTGATCCTGATTCTTTGTTTCGTTCTGAGTGAACACAGATTATTTCTGCCTCGCCGTTTTGGGCAGAAAGTCTCTATTTATTTTATTAAGATCCTCTGCGAAGATTACATCACACAAATCAAGTGGGTACAATTTTATAACAGCAAAAACTCGTAAAGGTTTAATCCTTTGTGTCTCTTCTACGATTCCCTAATCTTGTGTTCGTCGACCAAAGGTAACGTCAAACGAGTGGGAAAGATTGAGAAAAGGGAAACACTTCGTGGCAATGATACTCACTTGACAAAAATGTTTGAACCTTCGCGAAGAATTCCCGTGTAGTGTATCCTGTACAACTGATGCGACAGCTTCATAATTTGACTGCATGGGAAAGAGCCTTTTTATGCAATTACTACGCAGCCGACTCAGGGCATTTTAGATCCTCTTTCCTCACTGCCGGAAGAAATATAATTCATCGACTTAGTCAAACCTTCGCCCAATTATCCCCTTTGGCTATTCATTGCTGGTACGTTCGCTCATCTACCGGCTTGTAGCAGTACCGTAAAGAGGTCTGTCTAAAGAGGAACTGAACCTAGTTATGCTCCCGTCCTGTGTAACGGTGAACGTTGCTACTTGGCAAGCTTTTTTTATGCATGTGATTTAGTAACAATAAGCGTTATATCCTTTTTCTTCTGTGTGGCCCCTAGTTTCCGCACTTCCTTTGCCCGTGGGTGGATGGATTTTCTGCTGGATTCCCCTGACTTCTCCTCCTCACAATGGTAGACACAGCGCTAGAGAAGAGAAGACCTGTGCGGTAGAACAAGCCAAAGCTAAATTATTGCAACTGCTGTCCCGACTAGTCGCCTCGTCCTGAATAACAAGTGTGCCTGATGAGCAAGGCCTAAGAGCAGGCCATCCTTTCCTCGGAACTGCCATTTCGTCGGCTATACCCCAACACTATGGCAGGAAGTGAGCAGATCTATTGTAGTTGTAGTACGGTCGGTTTGGTGAGGAGGATGCAGCTACCATATGGTCTTAGTAGGAACAGCCAACGACATGGAATCTTATCTGTTGTTGCAATTGTTTGGCATAGCATCGGAATAGAGCAGAACACAGTCAGCCCTTACAATGACCCTCCGACCTGCACAGCTAGAGTAAAAAGCGCTCATGTAAGCGCTTCTCACGCGGTGGGCAAAAGGAAGAAAAGTTTTTAACAGATATGAGATAGTTTGCCGCTCCGCTACCATACTATGGAAAAATCTGTGCAATGGTCAACCAGACAGGGAACCCGAGCGGCTATATATATGCACATGTATTCCACGAGAAAATATACATTCGTGCATTAATGTATGCACTGATACGTTTTTGTATATATGCATATGCTATAGATGTTTAAAATGGACAAACGAAGTTATGATACTTCAATATGCATACCGGTAATATAATTATATCCAGACACATGAGGGGAGCAATATGACATAATAAGTTTAGAAAAAGGCAAAAACTGCTGAACACTAACTATAATGAGGAGGAAAAAGCGCAAAAAGAAGGTCGGTCTCGGCGTGCCGTTCAGAAAAAACTAGGACCAACAATGTTATTGAGAAATTTGTTAAATACGTAGTTTATTTAATATATTAAATTGCTTATAACAAAAGCAATTTTCTGATGCAACCAAATTAATTCCAGAGGAATGTCTCTACTCTGATTCCTTTAGATTATCAACCATCACTGGACTTGTCAGAACTGTTTCCACAGTTCCCTTGGGAGCCAATAATTCCGTTTGGCCATCCGGTATTATTATGTGGCGCTTGCCCTGATTGCTTGTTCTCACTAGCTGTCCCGAAATAATTATCATACGCGCCGATCGGTCCTTTTTTGACCCAGCCAGCCGACAGTGTTCAGTTTTTCATGTCTGCTAATTGCCCCCGTTCGCCCAATTTGCCCACCCTCTCAGATGAGTTGATTAGGCTGTATTGCTAAGAGATTCGGCAAAAGAAAATCTAGCGTCCCGAGCAATGAAGACGATTTGTAAACTCGGTCGTTTTGTCAAAGGAACAACATAGCGCTGGTGGCACTTTACTGTTATTGGCGATGACAGTAGAGGGCCTAGCTGCTACTGTTCACGTTCACGCGATCCTCGCCAATCTTCTTGATCTGTTCGAGAATAATGATGGTCGAACGGTCAGCTAGATATAGAATAGTGGCAGCCCCCAGAGGAGGGTGCTTACAACGCCTCTGTGGCCCCCGTAAAGGATGCTGGAGCTTTTGCTAGTAGACGCGGTAAAGTAGGGGGATATTCAGTCACACAGATGTTTCCGCGTGATTGCACGCAATAGGGCGGCACAATGACGTGGGTAACGTACAGCAATAGAGGCGTTATGGGAAATGCGACCAAGGTGTCGTTCTGTGAGAATACCAACGAGGTGGAAAGGTTGATAGACAGGAAGACGGAATGGCGTACGGGATAGGTAGAAACCCCGAGGCTAGAGACTGGGGGACCCTTTTCCAGCCACAGGGGACGCCAGAAGCCAAAGGATCGAAGGTTGTTTTGCGTCGTACAGCAATTTTATGCGGAATCTTGTCTCGCCATCCTATATAATATCATACCTTGTCTGTCTTTTCTGATCTTTCGCACCGGATAAGGCACTCCTTTCGAGTGAAATAGCCCAGAAATAGATAGCTTTATAGTGGGAAGAAAATTGTATAAGAAATGTTTTTAATCCACATTCGAATTCCAATCGACTACTAAGGCGGCGTTCTGTACCGCCATTATTGTCGGCGATGCCACCCTAGAATTAAACTCTGCCCGGCTTTGACGGCGACTCCAAACTGCAGTGGTTTGGCGTTACGGCCACTTTCACTATCGTGTTGGAGGTAGCCTATAGACCGTCTGACAGGGGAACGTGGTATTATAGTTGTTGTACTGGTTGTAGGTACAGCCGCGCTGGTGAGGGTGAAGCGGAAGGGGCGACGAACATAGTCTAGTTGAGTCAACTCTGCCTGCTCTAAACCGATACAAACTCCGTAACTCTCTGTTCCTCCTACTTACATGTCGATGGAGAAAACATTTCCCCGGTGGGTTAGCTGTTCGATCGCGGGCCGTTTGGCAAGGCGAAATGGACATTATTTACGAGCAGTCAAAAGGCTGAAAAAAGAGGGAAGGACGTCGCTTGGCGAAGCGAAACGCTCAGAGCAGGGGATAGGAGTAAGGGGCAATCTGAGAAACGAGCAAAAACAACGTGTCACGGACGTTGTGGGGTTTATTGAAGAATCGTTGCTGTGGAGCAGCGCGTTGTTCAAATATTGGAACCATTAAGAACAATAATTTCTATTTGATGGGTAAGGTAAATAGTCTGCTGGTTTCGGTTGTAGTTGTGGTAGCAGTGATTGCTGAAAACTATTACGATGACCGAAGACGGCTAAGGAATCCCGGAAAAGGAATCGAATAGGAGCAAGTGGAGAGAAGTAATAAAGAAGATCAAGGTAGCTCTGAAATAAAAAGGACTCGAAGGGGTAAAAAAAATTGCAAAAGGTCAAGGACCGACATGCACAATCAGCTGGGCCGGTTCACTTTCATTGCATGCTGGGTTCTCCTTCCTTCGCTCAATTTTAGTTTTTTTTTTTTTTATGAAGAAAGATGAATCATGCGGTGACATTGGTAGTTGGCTTGTCAACGTTCCGGTACACGACGTATTGTATAACTTGTCGAAACCACTTTAAGGTCGATGAGATCGTTAAATCGTTAAAGTTATATGAGCGGCTTGCGGGAGCTGTGCTCACATCCTCTCCCTCCGCTCGCTTCCCCTGGCCCCTCAAAGAACTGGAAAAGGTTAAAGGGGTGGCACGCATGCGTACGTGAGTGTAGTAGAGCAGCTGCTGATGGGTAACGAACCACGATGGATTACTGAACTGCTTGAAAGAAGAAGACAGAGGATGAAACGATGCTACACGGTGACAGTCTGCCCTTGTTGTTTATATGAGTTTAATGTAGTGTGGCGATGAATTAACAGAACCTGTATCGAATAAATCAAAGCGGCTGTGGTTGTTATTTTTTTTTTTGTTTTTTTTCAACTTTTGGGATCAGGCTAGCTGGTGTACTGGCGCAGTGCCTCGTAATGGTTGTAGCACTAAAAGGAAGTTTTGTAATACGGTATAGTTGACTTAAAGCTCTACGATGGGAAGCGCTGCGGGTGACTTTTGCGCGTGCGTTGAAAACGTCGACCTCTTCTTGGTTTGAACAAGTCAGTGACAGACATATTCTCAACGTATAGAGGATTAGAGATGAGAGAGATATTTGATTAACAAAAAAAAGTCATTTGCAAAATATCTACAGTCTATATCTTGACAGTGCATCCGCATGCAATGGTGTCGTCGTGTATGTATCGTAAAATAAATTCAAGCCAAAATGCGTTGAGAGTTTGTCTGGCAAATGACTCAATCCAGCCACTCCGATCGAAGCATTTGAAAGATGTTTTCCTATAAACGCATTAGTTAGTTCAGAATTGAACAATCCGCACTGATGTTGCCTAGCCTATTTGGCCTGCGTTCCTGGTGACGCATAAGGATTACTAACCCGACGGAATCTGAAGAGAACTTTTTTCTGTCTTCTTTCAGGTGAGTGCATTTGATAACCGGCTGAGTTCAAGCATTTCCCTGTAAGCGTTGGGACTCAGTAGAGCGAAAGGGATGCTAGACAGTTTGCAAAAGAAAAATATGAACCGTCAAGGCTGGCTCCTCTGGAAGGAACACGGACCAAAACCCGCAACGGAGAGCAGCCAAGGAGGACCGTGTGGAAAACAAAAGATGGCGAAAGCGTCGCGCAACGGAAAACTTCAAGACGTATCGTGATTATATTTCCAATACACCGTAGTCAAGCTGATCGAAAACCAGCGTTCATCAAATACTGTTCGGTCGCTGTACGCGACCACTAACTTCTCTTCAAGGAATTATTAGCATTGTAAGTATATAACAGAAAACAGAGACAAGCCCAGAAAAAAACTTAGCAAATCGATTGTTCCTCCGTGACCGTTTTGGCTGGGATCTTCTGACTGTTGTGGTTAGATGTAATTCTGGATGGTCAAAAATTTAGAGAAATATCTCGTCCTAGAGATGTGTAAAGTCTAAAGCTATAAACGGCCGGAATACTAGTGGATAATTTTGATTCTAGAGTTCTGCTGTTTTCACGATGCTGCTGTGTATAAGGATCAGTTCTATATTCACTATTGATTCCGTGATTATTTTTTCTGCTCCGCCATCCGATTTGTTTCGAGCGTTCTGGGTCCACTATGTGCTTTTACATGTTCTAAGAATTGTTACTAGCTATCTCCCTCAATTGCATCAGCACCTTGATCATTTTTAGAAACCATTTTTTTTGCCTCCATAACGGAGCGTTGAGCTACACGCCGTAGTTTTACGAACACAAGCTGTTATGACGTCATGCAAACAGCAGACAACTATTTACCTAAAACTCCATGACAGGTACAAGTATACAGGTTCGTTTTCGTTAGAAACCGTGCCACCATGAGTTTTCGGTTGTGCTGATTTCGCTGGATCTACTGCCCCTCTATCATTTTCGTCATGAGCCCCTGTCGCTGTAAACGCATTTATTTAGAAAAATGTTTCTCTCAAGAAACACCAACATTCACAGAATGGTTGAAGTTGACAAACCTATTCAGAGGCAAGAACATCTCAGCAGAGGAAAGCACATGGGACTATAGGAAACAGGTTTCGACAGGGTGTAGCCCAGGTTAAACTGGGTAAACGCACGAGGCGTTGGGAGCTAGAATCAGTGAGTAAATTTCTACTTACTTCACCAATGGCCACGTTCAGTACCGGTCGAACAGTTGACTGGCGAATCGGCCGAGTTCTGGTGGCCAGTGCGGTGAGTAGGATTAAGGGAAACTATCCAAAAACTGAGAAAACGCCTTCCTTGAAACTTCTTCTTTCTCAACGATAACAAGGGCTAAAAAAGGTTCCAACGAAAGAAAAGAATAGAGAAATAGATAGAGTGAATGGTTTGGCTTGGGGCAAATGACGGGTGTTGGGGCAAACACGGAGTTAGAGTGTGGTACTGAATCGCCCTTCTTTCTATGCCCCTAGAAGAGTACTCTGTCGTCTCAGATCAATTTCATTTTTTTGGATTTTCTCATTGTTCCTTAGCAGTAGAGTTGCTGAGTGCGAAGAACATTGAAGAGGGACATTGGTGCAACTAAAAGAAGACGAGAGCTGTTTATTGCAGCATCTAGTGTTTTCTCCCGCCTTTTTTCGTTATTTTGGGGGGTGAAAAACCGCAGAAGCCAGTAAAATCTTTGCTTGGGGCCGGTGTTACAGCTGTATCCCGTTATTAGCCCATTACCTTTCTAGTTGAAGTGGCCTAGAGTATGCTAGTCTTAGCCGGCCTGAGCAGATATCGTTGCTAGTTTCATCCGCTCCAGACTTGGTTACATCCTCCCTTCATTTTTTATGGCTTTTTGTACGTCATGAAGGAACTGCAGTAGACGCTCTCGGTGGCAAGGTCGAGTCCGTCGAGGAGTGGTGAGTCGCACTGGTGAAGGCTACGACGTGTGTCCGCATTATCCCTCGATGACATGCTACGTTCTTCTTCATTTTTCTCGGCCTCAATTCAAGTTCGACGAGTTAACTGTCTTTTATCTAGACTTAATTATTTTTGTTGGCACTCTGACAGGGGGATAAAAGAGGGGATGCCAGGAAATAAGTTTTTGGTTTCGCAACCATAGGAAGAATAACCCATGAAATCTATAGACTGTGACGACTTACGTAGTAGCAGGCGGTTTGCCCTAATTCGATAATGGACCGAGACAAAAAAGCCATCGAAGCACGATTAGCCTGAGGCGCGGAATTTTCCCCGCCAAGCCGCTCGGGCGATGACCATAACTCAACGACCAGACACACACATTATATATATA